TGAAAACCCTGCCATAAAAGAAAGCAATCCAAGACTACCAGGAGACCCTCCATGTGTCTCTGAGATCGAGAATCTGTATCAGAAGAGACATGGATCCACAGGGCGGATTAGAAGCAGCAAACACCAAGCGTACAAAATCGACTTGAGAATAGATAAGAAACGCTGATGTAACAGAGCTACAAATTCTACGATTAGCGAGGCACGTATGGAGGACATTGAAACCTAAAATCAAAGTTTCGGGAAGAGGTGGATGAGAGGCTTGCTTTCGAGTGATAAAAATGCTCAAGAGAATGAGAAAAATCCCAAATCCATCAAACTGCCTCAGGGGAAACGATACACAAGCAAGGATGAAAGAATAGGCCAGCATATTCCACAAATTCATTCCTTCCTTCAAGGCCATCCTTAGATTTGACAGACCCTCTTCCTCGTGACCTTCCTTGTACTCAAAGACCCTCTCCTTCAGGTTTTCACACACTGATGGATCTTGAAGTGCATCCAGGTCTGGTTTCGAGCTAGTCTGGAACCATCTCTTCTTTTTACCTGGTGTGTTTTTCATCTGCAGGCTTGTAACTACCAGTCTGTGATCTGTTTCAACATCTCGGGTGTTGTAACTTTCACTGTTTGTGATCAGGTGTCTGCATTTGTTGGGGACCAAGATGTAGTCTATTTGATTGTAGATCTTTTTGGCCCCTACTTGCCCACACCAGGTAGCTCTCATTCCAAACTTCTTCTTGAACAAGGTGTTAGTCAAGATCATGTCTTTTCTTTGGGCAAAACTTAGGAGAGAGGCCCCTCCTTCATTTCTAGTGCCCATCGAGAAGGAGCCAGCATTTTTTGGGTAATCATCACATCGTCTTCCAACCTTGGAGTTGAAGTCTCCTAGCAGGATGTTGACTTTGTCTTTTGCCCAAGCTTCTTCTATGTCCTTGTAGAACTTTTCTCTTTCTTCCGGATGCTTTTCACAGACTGGTGATGTTGGAGCATAGACTACTATAATGTTAGCCTCGAGATTTGGCATCTTTAGATTCAGTGCTCCCACCCTGTTCGAAATGCTTCTCCAGGGGCCTGCCAGTTCTTTTCGGACACCAAATCCTACCCCATGGTGAATCGAGGTAGATGGCATGATTATCAGTTTGAATGGTCCTTCATCTTCAATCAGGGATTCCTTCATCTTTGTTTCTGTTATACCGAGGCATGCCAGATTTCTATTTTCCATAACCTTGAAGAGGTGGTTCCTTTTGATTTGGGAGGCACATCCCCTGACATTCAGAGTCGCGAGGTTTAGGGTCGCGAGTCTCTTTCTTTCTCTTCTTGATGACATCAGGATCGGACGACCCGTGCCGGCGTCACTCGGCAGCAACGGAAAAGTTTTGGAGTTCAATGCCATTATTTGTACAGATAGCTACACACAAGGATGCTTCTCGATAAAATTTTACCCATTTCTGTAATTAGAATTGGATAGTCTTTCAATGGCATTTTACTTAAAATAAATAAAAATTCACCTGGTTTAGCTTCATGTCAAACATTTCTTATAGGTTATGCCAATAAACTTTCCACACCACAATAGCTTTTACCTCAATTGCAAGGATTTGCTATTTATGTTCAGTTGAATTGATGGCTATTATAATGCAATTATAATTTTCAGTATTATTCA